AGCTCCCGCATAAATAGGTGTTATTCTTCCAAGTTGTAAATATTAAAAGAGAAACAATTTTGCTAGGAAAATCAAGAATTCTTTTTTGATCAGTAAGGGATGGGAGGATGTCCTTAGACACATTAGATAGTATGATCTCTCTTGGTCTTCGGGAAACTCGAAACTGTTTACTTTTGTGCTTATTAATTTAACAAAAAAGTACAAGAGGCACTTTCTAGATTAGAGACAACAGTTATCAAGTAAGCTTAAACTCCTCTTGTGGAACTACATTTTAGTGAAGGAGATAAACAATGACCATGCAGATAAATAAATATACATAACTGAATTTCAAGTGGTGGTAAGTCCTATCAAGAAAAATAATATTTAATTGATTTATAACCCCCTAAGTACCTTTATTTTTTACAAGTGACTAAGCTGAGTGTGATTAGCCAGATTCTACCCCGTAAGGGTACTAATATAAAATCAAGAACACAAAATGCCAGAGAGACTTAGACGTTTGCCTTGCATCCCCTCCACATTGGTTCAAATCCTGGCACTGCATATGGAATCCAAGCACAGTCAGAAATGATTTCTGAGCACAGAGCCAGGAGTAAGCCCTAAGCACTGCCAGTAATGGATCCCCAAGTCCAGAAGATAAAGTAAAATCAAAATTAAACTATAAAGTCAAGCACACAGCAAAATAAGTGGAAGCACTTATTAAAAAATAATACTTGTGAAGTTCAAAGTATAAAAAAATCAGTTTTAAATGGGAGCAAAAACTAATTAACAGTGTGATATAATTAATTAAAGATGTGATATTTGAACTGGGCCTCAAAAGGAAGAAAGAATTTAGATATAGGTTTGTACCATGAAGAACACTAAACATTTTAGCATATTAAAGAAAGCATATTAGTTATCTAGGACTGAGTAATAAAGTGTTTATGTATAGTCAAAATCAGTTTGTATGGGTATGTTAATTAGTACTTAGAAATCTCTAACATATTAATATCTTAAATTCTTTTTTATTCTATTGCATTACAAGGCAAGGTGGGAAGGAGCTGTTAATAGTCCTCTGATTTTATCACTGTACACTCCCTGGGACTCATTATTATTATTATTATTATTATTATTATTATTTTGCATTTTGGCTCACACCTGATGATGCTTAGGGGTTACTTACTGGCTCTGCACTCCTAAATTACTCCTGGCAGTGCTCAGGAGACAATATGGGATGCCGGGGATTGAACCCAAGTCAGCCGTGTGCAAGGCAAATGCCCTCCCCACTATACTATCGCTCCAGCCCACCTGGGTCTCATTCTGCATTCTGAAAATGCATTTTTCTCAAACCTCAGCCTAATAATCAAGCAAAAATAAGGCACTGATCAGTAGGCTTGTGTCTAGCCCAGAATGTAAGAGCAAAAACAAACATATCAAGTCTCATTTGGAAGCTACTTGATTGACAGATACACCTCAATTGACAACAGAAAAAGATTTTTTAGTACCTCTATTATTTACCTTTTACGTTCTTATCCTGCAGAGGTCAGAACAAAAATAAAGCCCTTTCCATCAACAAACATCCTCGATTTTACAGTTTCTCATGAGTTATGTATTATAATATGAAAAGTCAAAATGCATGACTATTACATGCCACCTATCCTACCTAACTTGAGGGCTTTTGAAGCACCTCTGATTTCACAGAGGGCTAACATGATTGAAAAGTTCATTCCAGAATGCTAACCTACCTGGAAGAGTCCTTTGCTGATTGGTGCTGTTAAGGAACTTATATGGAATAAAGATCCACAGGTTTTGCATTTGTCTTTCAACCTGAATTGTGTGTAAAATGCCAAACCATCTCTCTGAGGAGGATAGACTAGAAAGAAATTTGAACAATTTTGTGTAGCAGACAGCATAGGTTTTCTAGTCACTTTCTAGTCACCTATCTTGAGAACCCCCAAATCCTGCTAATAAATAGTAAGATTTGTTGTCTGGTACTTGTAATTTAAATCTAGCCTTTCCATAGGTAGTCATTTTCCAGAAAAAAAAATCTATTCTTATAAACACGGGAGTAATTATTGGAAATAAGGAAAACTTCCATTTGATAAAGGAGTTGCAAATGAAGAGTGAAAAATGCTGGGAAAAATGAAAGCCTATGCTGCAAGACTAAAAAAAGCTAGTCTAGTTTTCTTTCACCTGATGCTTTAGAAAACAGTACGTACTCAAAGAGGGTGTAGAAGGGAGGGCTGGATGAAAGGTGAGGGAGGGAGGGATGAAGGGTGAGGGAGGGATGAATGAAAGGTGAGGGACACTGTGCTGAGGCTTTCCGCTCAGTGACTAAGAAGTAGGTGACGAAAAGGGGAAACTGAGCACTGAAACCAGAAAGTGACACTTAGGGAACCCGGGATTCTGAGTGGGAAAGCAAGACCGGGTCGAGCAGGAACACGGAGCAAGCGGCGGGCACTGATGCCTCACGCGCCCTGGAAATAGACAGTTGTGACAGATTTCCTCAGGAAAACACTGAAAGCAAAAATTGCGATCATACCCAACCTTTTCCTCTGGCCAGCCCAAGCTCTCCCACGTCCCCGAAAGGAAGAGAGCAAGAGGTCAAATTCGTTTGTTTATTCATTCATTCAACAAACACTTGTCTCTGTTGAGGCCTTTGTCTTCAGCCTCTCTGGCGGCGCGGGTTTCCCGGGGCGAAGGGGCCCCCTAGTTGCCTGGCGAGGCAGGAGCACATCCCCCTGGAGGGGCCCGGTTGGGAGGGTCTCTGGACGGGCTTCCAGGGGGCAGCGCCCTGTGAGGGTGTCTCAGACGGGGAGCAGCGCCCTGTGAGGGTGTCTCAGACGAGGGGCAGCGCCCTTGTGAGGGTGTCTCAGACGGGGGGGGGGGAGGGTGGCGGGAAGCGCCCTGTGAGGGTGTCTCAGACGAGGGGCAGCGCCCTGTGAGGGTCTCTCAGACGGGGGGCAGCGCCCTGTGAGGATCTCTCAGACGGGGGACAGCGCCCTGTGAGGGTCTCTCAGACGAGGGGCAGCGCCCTGTGAGGGTCTCTCAGACGAGGGGCAGCGCCCTGTGAGGGTGTCTCAGATGAGGGGCAGCGCCCTGTGAGGGTCTCTCAGACGGGGGGGCAGCGCCCTGTGAGAATCTCTCAAACGGGGGCAGCGCCCTGTGAGGGTCTCTCAGACGGGGGCAGCGCCCTGTGAGGGTCTCTCAGACAGGCCTTCAGGGGGCAGCGCCCTGCGAGTCCCAGGAGAGAGGCGAGGGGACGCTCTCTGCGAGCCCGAGGAGGGGGACGCCCCGGAGACAGGGTGCCCGCGTCGGCCCAGGCCCCTCGCGGAGGGCCTCCCTCGCGGCCCGACTTCGCTCCCCCAGCAGGGTGCCCGCCGCCCCCCGGGAGGAGGCGTCTCTCCAGGCGGAGCTGCCCCAGCAGCCGAGCTATGCAGAGCGCGCGCAGGCCCGGCGGTGAGGAGAGCCCGAGCAGACGCCCGCCGCGCAGACTGCGTCCGCCCCGGGGTGCCCGCGCCTGGAGCAGGAGAAAAAAATAAAAAAGCAAAGTACAGAAGGCGGACTCGGGCTGCGCAGGGTGCGAGGGGGGAGGGGGCGCCCCCACGGGCCCGGAGCAGAAAGCAGCCCACTAGCTGGAGACCCCCGAGCACGGGGCTGTGAGGACGAGGGTGCCTCCGATACAGCGCGCGTGCAGGACGCTGACCCGGGCCTCGGGCTCTCCCTCCCACGCGGCACACGCGACCGGAGAAAGTGGGGTTCCGCGGGCGGGGAGGCGGGGCGGGGCCTAGCGCCGGGGCGGGGCCTAGCGGCGGGGGGCGGGGCCTGGAGGCGGGGGCGGGGCCCAGGTGCTGTTGATACACAAAGGCCGGCGCGCCGGCCCCGCCCCCTGACGCGCGCGCGGGCCGCGCTATAACCCGCGCTCGCGGCCGCCGGCCCCAGAGCCGCACGCCACCGCCCTCCCGCGCCCGCGCTCCTTCTTGCCGCCCGCAGCCCGGCCACGCGGTCACCCCACGCGCGCCGCCGCCTCGAGACGCCGCCGCCTGCCTCCCCACCCTCCCCCACTTTCCGTGGAAACTCTCCTGCCGCGTTCGGGTGCCCGGTGCTCGCCCTCTCTCTCTCTCTCCGCGGGGCTCGCCTGCCGGACGGAGCAGCCCCCCACCCCCACCCCACCCGGGACCCCCGCGACCACCGCCGCGAGCCGCTCCCGGGGCGCAGGAGCCGAGACCGCCGAGGTAGCGCGCGGGGGTCCCGGCGGGGGCGGGGAGGAAACGCCTCCTCCCGGGGGTGTGTGTGTGTGTGTGTGTGTGTGTGTAGCTGGGGGTCGCCGGCCGGGGACTGCAGAGCCGCAGCCCGCCGTCGAGGAGGGGGGCCCCACCCGCCAGCCCGCGCTGCGGCACGCCTCGTGGCCGGTGTGCGTGAATTAAACGTGAATGCGGGGGTTTCGGGGGGCCGCGGCCGGGGAGGATGCGCCGGCCCGTTTGACAATCGGCCGCGGAGGTTGCATCAGTTTCCGTTCCGGGCAGCGGCGGGGCGGGCGGGCGCGTGTCAACAAGCGCGGGCAACGGGCCCCCCACCCGGGGGTGTAGCGGGGGGAGGGGGAGGCCCCGGCGCCCCCACCCCACTCCCAACTCGGGTGGGGGGAGGGCGTACAGGGAAGGGGGACCCCGGCCCCGCAGAGCGGGATGCACCGGCCCGGACTGCGGGCTGCCGTCCCCGGGGCTGCCGAGCGTCGAGGCCGCGAGCCCGGGGCACCCCCCGCCCCCCGGCCGCTCCCCGGGGCCGGGCGGGCGCCGGCGCAGCTTTGTTCTCGCGCGCAGCTGCCGGTACTTTTCCGGGCCGGGCGCGCCCCCGCCCCGCGCGCGCCGGTACTTTTCCACTCGCCCGGCGGGGGGTGAATCAGCCGCGCGGCGGCGCGTCACGTGGGCGCGCGGGGGGGGCGGGGCTGCGGCCGCGCGGGCCTGACGCCGCCCTCTCACCTCCGCAGGCGGCGCGGGCCAGGACAAAGGAGACCCCCGCGCGCCGCGCCCGCACCGGCCCCCGCCGCCCCCGCCATGAAGAAGGCCGAGATGGGGAGGTTCAACATCTCCCCGGACGAGGACAGCAGCAGCTACAGCTCCAACAGCGACTTCAACTACGCCTACCCCACCAAGCAGGCCGCCCTGAAGAGGTGGGCGCCGGACCGGGGCGTGCATGCAGCATCTCCGGCTGGATGCTTGCATGCACTGGGGGGTTGGGGACGTGCAGCATCCGTCTTCGGAAGCTGGTGTGCACAGGGGGATCCGGGGACGTGCAACATCCCTCTTGGGATGCTTTGCATGCATTGCGGGGTCCGGGGACGTGCAACGTCCCTGTCAGAATGCTTGGATGCACGGATGGGGGGAGATCAGTGAAGGGGATCTCCAAAAAGGGAGCCCGAGCCTGTTTTGGTGTGGATGAAGGGGTCCAGGGAAGGCTGGCGCCTGCATTTCAGAAAAAACGCAGACCAGAACTCGGTGGCTGGCAGCCGTGTTGTATTAAGAGACTTAGTTGTTGTTCGGGTGGGAGATGCGGGCTGAAAGTAGACTAGAGACGGAATATCGTGGCCACTTAATTGCAAACCACAACACCCAAAAGGAGAGAGAGAGAGCAAAAGGGAATACCCTGCAGCAGAAACCGGGTGGGGGGTTGGTGGGAGGGATACTGGGACCTTTGGTGGTGGAGAGATGGGTTTTCTATCATTGTATGACTGAAATGCAAGCAGGAAAGTTTGTAAGTCTACTACTGTACCTCATGGTGATTCGCTAGTAAAAATATTTGAAAAAGGAGACTTGGTTGTATAGTTCAAGCCAACTTAAAGCATCTCCTCCTCACCCCCTCTTTGGCAGCCATTACGCAGATGCAGATCCTGAAAACCAAAACTTTTTACTTGAATCAAATTTGGGGAAGAAGAAGTATGAAACGGACTTTGTAAGTGCACCTTGATCGTTTCTGTGTGTGTGGCTTTGTGGAGTAAAAGCTTAGTTTGACTTTTAGATTTCAAATCTGACTTGCCCAAACCTGGTTTTCCCCCATTTAATTATTGTCATATGTTTGGTTATCGTTTTCCCTCTATGTAGCATCCAGGTACTACTTCCTTTGGAATGTCAGTATTTAATCTGAGCAATGCGATTGTGGGCAGTGGAATCCTTGGGCTTTCTTATGCCATGGCTAATACTGGAATTGCTCTTTTTATGTAAGTATGTGTAAGTAGTGAGTCTGCCGTGAGGGCAGTTACTTTGATGATGCAACATATTTTGGCTTCAGAACTAGAATTTATAGTGGAAGTAGTTGACATCTCAAAAGCATTTGCTTAAAATCGTAAGAAATCCACAATCTGTCCTATAACTGCATGATGGCCAATGTCAAGAAAGCCAATTCGGACAAAAGTAGGGTGACTTGAAACGTGGCACTCATGCCAAAAGTCAGTCAGGCCGGGCTTTAACGCTGTAAGCAGTGGAATGATTAAAAAGGAACAATAAGTAAATCTAGAATAGTTAGAAATTTTGTTTTGGCAAAAGCTGATGCAAAAACTACAGTATCTCCAAGTCAGTTTGATAAATGAATTCACACAGTCTGCTGTCGAAACTTCTTTGTTTAAAAAAAAAAACGCAGGGTGTGACGGTATTTGCCTAACCTGGAGCGTGTTTGCTTTAAGAAAAATGAGTCATAATTTTCTGGACACTGAGCAGCAACTCATTGGTGTTCTTTTGAGTGTGTGTATGTATGTGGCTTTTTGAGAAATATTCCAGGTTTGTATGGTTACCATATGCCATAGCAAAAACCATGAACGTTTTCAGGAAAAAACCCAAAACAAAACTCTGAAGAATTTGAGCTTAAATTTTCAGTGATGTTTGTATCATACCATTAAGTTTAAGCATAGCTAGATACATAGGGTCTTGACAACAGGATGTTTGTGTCATTTAAAGTATAGTATAGAATTGTCCCTTTAGGGCAGATGTATTTTGGTTAGCTGACTCCCTTCTATCCAGTTTATTTTTTTTTCAGCAGAAAAGAGTATTCACGGAAAGAATAGCTTTGCAGAGTCCTGCTCTGTGAAGAAAAGTCCAGATTAAAGTTGAGCCTATGTGTGTTGGAAGCTGGGATTTGGTCTGTTAGCAAGAGGCATTTTGACACCTCTTAAGAATTTACATATAAAGGACCCTAGAATTTCAAAGATTTTAGTGGGAAATTTGAATGGCTTCATTGTTAAAGTATTTGAACACCTACCTAATCAGGTATAAAAATTAAAGGCAGTTTTTAAGTGCTACCAGTGTGGTTATAGTTTAGAATTGACATGAGATAAAATGCATGATTTGTTTCATCTATGAAAGCAAAGTTAATATCATCCTATCCTCACACTTTATTTTTACCCTCAACCTTTTGAAAATTTTTTTAATATATGAATTTAATGATTGGCCCTAGAGTGAGCTTAGGAATTTCCTACTTAGAGGTAAATGGACCAAAAGCTTATGGCTTCCATTATCTGGCTGGTCAAACAACTCTAATTACCATCTTAAGTAGGATGATTCTGGCAGTTGGAAGTGATCTCAAAGATAACAAAATGCGTTCATCCCTCATCTTTTCTGTGTCAGGGAAGAAGGATCAGATTTATCAGAACACTTGGAAAATTGCTTTTGAGTAAACCCAACAACTTTATCCAGTTAAATGACACTGATGGTTTCATTCTAAGTCTTGATTTTTTTTTTTTCTTCCCGCCTACTATTGAAGAAGTCTGTTTTTCTTGATTTATCTGAAGTGGAAGGAAATTGAAACTGGAATGAGAGCCCGTGCCCCAAAGGAAAACTAAACAAAATTGGGGGCCCTTTAGTCTGTTCTCTCCGGCCCTCAGCACACCCTTCACCCCTCCATGTTTCACTTGGAGTAGAGGAATCGAGAGGAGACAGATCTAGCTTGTTTATTCTAGCGCAGGTTTTAACTTGGTCACAATGCTGGAGCTCTTATTTCACACCACGAGATGCAGTAGAGTTTATCATCAGCACTTATCTGTTTGATGCCAGTTGTTTGTAAAGCTTTTAATAGTAGATTTTATAGTTATCTCACATATTTGGATATCACGTCCTCAACCCTGCTGACAGTGCCGTTGACCTGCACAAACACCTAGTAGGCTGGGTTTGCTGACAGGTCTTTCAGATTAAACAGAGACACGGCAAGTTTATAGTTAACCATTTTGAAGCCGGAATCAAAATACATCTTTCATAACTCTTACCACTGGGAAGGAAGGCAGCGGTATGCTCACTGTCTCCATCCTCTGTGTCACCTCTGCTAGCCAGTGCTATAGAAACATTGAAGGCATGAGTTTTTTGTGGCAGTTCAGAGATGTTGAGAATTACAGCTTAGGATAGTGAACACTAATACTCGGGATCATTCTGTCAATGCCACAAGAAATAAGAGAACATGTTCCATATGTAATGTTTATCTAGCAACTAAAGAGAATTGTCTTTATGCTAATAACTGCCTTTTCTTCTCATCAGAATTCTCTTGACATTTGTGTCAATATTTTCCCTGTATTCTGTTCATCTCCTGTTGAAGACTGCCAATGAAGGAGGTAGAGCAAAGATCTTTTTATTTCTAAATTTCGTGGCATAATTTTCTTTTCCTTTATCCTTGCTTCATGCTTCTTTGTTCTTCAAATCACAGGGTCTTTAATGTATGAACAGTTGGGGCATAAGGCATTTGGAATGGTTGGAAAGCTTGCTGCCTCTGGATCAATTACAATGCAGAATATTGGAGGTAAGAATGTTTTGAAAGACAGGTCGGGTGTCTTGGCTCTTCGTGTAGCTGTGCTGACACAATACTTTGGGTGTCACGTGCCGCATTTTGCACTTGTAATGGTATAATTTTGTTTTCCTCCAGCTATGTCAAGCTACCTCTTCATAGTGAAATATGAGTTACCTTTGGTGATCCAGGCATTAATGAACATTGAAGATAAAACTGGGTAGGTGCTAAGTAAGGTTACTCATAAGAAAATTATAGCAAAGTCGGATACAAAATTTTTACCAGAAAATCATTTTTCATAAATTTTCCTGTTGAAATTAAGAAGTCTCCCATTTGACCAGAGGGTGATAGCTGTAACTCTGGGTAACTAATTTCTACCCTGTGTGTGAAAACGAGTTTTCTAGAACTTCGCTTTTCTCTGTGTATTCAGTAAGCAGTTATAACAGAGTCACATTTTGGAAAGTCGGTTGGGACTAAAACCAATTCCTCTCTGGTTGTGGATTTTAAATTCTCAACCCTTGAAGCATTTAAAAATGCAGGATACTCGAAAATATGGCCTTGTTTTGTTGTGGAAACTACAGTTTCTACCCACTGGAAAAAGTTACTTTACATTTAGTAAACAGGCAGGAGTACTTCCCAGCTTACTCATGGCTGATGATTTCCAAATAGATAGGTCTAATTATCGCTGTAGCTTTAGAAGTTTAATTAAGCATAGTTTATTACTTTCCTGTGGGGTCTTTGAAATCAGTGGGAAAGAAAGTGATGATTTTTTTAAAAGAGGGTGCCTGCCAGAAGGGAAAGTTATTTCCCCAAAAGGGGGAAATGCCACACTGCTGGAACTCTTAAGAGAGATGCTTAATACTTTTTTTTTTTAATTTACAAGGTATTTTGACTATTTTTTGAGTTACAGACCAGAATGTTAGAGCAGACTCTTGAAAACCTGGAATATATTCGAGTGGGTGGAGGCTTGGATTTTGAGGTTTTGTTTCCACCTGTTGTTAGTATGTTATTAGTATGAAGATTTTCTCTTATATGTTTAATAACTATTAACAAATACGAAAAGAAACTTGTTCTAATTCCTTGATTCTAGCGTTAAAATTGCAAGCTAAAACTATGACAAAGTTGGCGTACAACTTTTCTAAACATGCCTAAAGATAAGATTGCTGGCTTAACAATGCTGCTTTCTTCCCAGCGTTCGTTTCAAGCCTTTAACAAGTGTTTTATGTTATGAATAATCTGGCGGCCTTCCCCGAGCCAACAGTGGGACAAAAGTTACACTGTTCCTACCCCATTTTCTAACCTGCATGTTATTCATCCCAGGACACAGAAGTTTATTGCCGTGTAGGCTTTTTAAGCAAGAGATACTTTCCTGGACCTGTCTCTTTTGTACTTTCATAGTATTTCTGTAAAATGAGTCCCACAGGAACATGTTTCTGTGTTGTTCTGAAGGTATTTGGAATGTTTCTGACCTTATTTCCTTCCCTTTTTGTTTTTTTAATTCAGATTGTGGTATCTGAATGGAGACTATTTGGTTCTTCTGGTATCACTGGTGCTCATTCTTCCTTTGTCACTGCTGAGAAATTTAGGTGAGCAAACCAATTGAACTGAGTTTCTTACCAGCTAGTTGACTGAAAAATGAGAAATTTGTATGTTTACATGGAGCTCTTCTAGAGAATCGATTAGAGAATGTTTGTCTTAAACGTTTTACCCTGTTTCATTCATATCTCTTTTTTAATAGGATATTTGGGATATACCAGTGGCCTTTCCTTATTGTGTATGATGTTCTTTCTGATTGTGGTAGGTGCAGTTTTTCTTCAAAGCTTAGATACACATTTTTAATAAATCCTGTTCACATTCAGTTTGACACATGCAAAATATTTTCTATTTCCAGGTGATTTGCAAGAAATTTCAGATTCCTTGTCCTATTGAAGTTGCTTTGATAATTAATGAAACAATAAACAGCACCTTAACACAGACAACATCTTTTGCTCTTGATCCAGCATTTAATGTGACTAGCCATGAATCTTGCAAGCCACGTTATTTTATTTTCAACTCTCAGGTAAAATTATTTTCTAGAAAGATTTTGAGAAGAGGGAACTATCCTTTGCAAATGTTAGGGGAAGGCAGAGGAAGAGAAGGAAAAATAACTCCTCTTTGGAAAATGTAATTAATTATTAAGAGTAAGAAGAAAGGGTTGGGTTATACCTTTAAATTGAGGGAAAAATAATGATAATAAATCAGACATTTGCTGTAAATATTGGAATATTGATCACAGTGAGTCAGAAGGATGGAGGCTCATGCGTGGAAGGACTAGGTTTGGATTTTAAGATTATAAAATCCAAGTTGCATAACTGATAATGAGTAAATATTCACTTTTTTTCCAGACTGTCTATGCTGTGCCAATTCTGACCTTTTCATTTGTTTGCCATCCTGCTATTCTTCCCATTTACGAAGAGCTGAAAGGGTGAGTGCTTTTTTCACTTTGGTAAAAATTTATTGAGAAAATGGAAAAATTCGTTGTTGTTAACATTTGTATTTTCCTTTAAATTGACATAGCCGCAGCCGTAGAAGAATGATGAATGTGTCCAAGATTTCGTTTTTTGCTATGTTTCTGATGTATCTGCTTGCTGCTCTCTTTGGATATCTGACGTTCTATGGTAAATCATGTCTACTCTATCAGAAAAAGAACTACTGAAAAATTAATACTTTCAGATGTGTAGTTGCATCACTTTAGAGAAAACCACTTATTTTGGTATATTTTGTGATGAGAAATAGGATTTCTTAACAACCTATTTAATAAGTAATGTCTAGAGAACATGTTTTAAAATTCACCATTAGTCATAGGATAAAAGTGTGTGTTTTTTTTAATTAGTGAAACACCATGAGGTACAGTTGTAGACTTACAAATTTTTGTGCTTGGGTTTCAGTTATACAATGATCAAGTACCCATCCCTCCACCAGTGCCCATTTTCCACCACCACAGATCCCAGTATCCCTCCCCGCCCATCCCATCCCGCCTCTGTGGCAGGGCATTCCTTTTTGTTCTCTCTCTCTCCTTTTGGGTGTTGTGGTTTGCAAAAGAGGCATTGAGTGCCAATCATGTTTGGTCTATAGTCTACTTTCAGCATGCATCTCCCATTCTGGGAGGATCCGCCTAACACCCTTTATTTGGTGCTCCTTTCTCTATCTGAGCTTCCTTTTCCCCTTTTCCCCTAGCATGTGTGGCTGGCCTCCAAGCCATGGAGTAATCCTTCTGGTACTTATCTCGGCTATTCTTGGGTGTTAGTCTCCTATTTTGTTACTTTATGTTCCCCAGATGAATGCAATCTTTCTATGTCTATCCCTCTCTTTCTGACTCATTTCACTTAGCATGATACTTTCCATGTAGTACCACTTGGATGTAAATTTCATAACTTCATCTTTTCTAACAGCTACATAGTACTCCGTTGTGTAGATGTACCAAAGTTTCTATATCCAGTCATCTCAGGTTTTTTCCAGATTCTGGCTATTGTAAACAGTGCTGCAATATTGTGTATTTAGAGCTACGAGTTTGCATCTAAGTTCATCTTAGCTCTTTTCCACCCCTGTCCCATTGTACAGTATCCACACAGTTGTCAGCCAAACCAGGAGATTTAGTTGTTGAACTCCTGTTGTTTTTTAATGGGGGGTCATGTGGCTAAATCTCTACTTGTTATTTAGGAAAATTTTCCTTCAGTGTTATACAATAATTGCTTTGACCCTAATGCCAAATTAATCTTATTAGCCTCAGCTTAGAATAGTTTTGTGAGTAGCTAATAACTTTGGTGCAGAGTTTGTGTATTTGAGATTTTCTACATCATCTGTAGAGAAAGTGGCAGACTAAATTTTGGGTTTTTTTTCCCCCGCCCTATAGATCATGTTGAGTCAGAATTGCTCCATACCTACTCCACTATACTGGGAACTGATATTCTTCTCCTCATTGTCCGTTTGGCTGTGTTAGTGGCTGTAACTCTGACGGTGCCAGTAGTTATTTTCCCGGTAAGTAAACCAACCAATACCTGCTCTGCTCTCAGCAGGAATGTGTTCCAGAGAGATAGCTCAAAGGCTGAGTGTGTGCTTTGTATGGAGAAGGACTGGTTTCAATCCCCGGTGCTGCCAGGAGCAATTCCTGACCCCTCTGAGGGGTAGCCTAGACCTGTGCACTGCTGGTTTAGCCCAGCAATTAAATATAAATTAAGATGGGGAGGTTTTTATGATTTGAGCAAAAAAGGAATACCTATTAAGGCATTAGTAAGTTGGTGGTAGTTTCCAAGAGGCTTAGAATATGTTAGAGGTGTTAAATCTATTCGAGCATCTTTAATCATAATTGAGATGATGCATTAATCTTTTTTATTGTTTGCACATTTAAAAAATGGGTAAAGGAGGGCGTGCTTTATTCAAATACCTACTTGTCTTAGACATTTTCTATTGGATTTTTTAAATACAGCTGAAATTCTAAATTTCTTTGTATTGCAGATTCGGAGTTCTATAACCCACTTGTTCTGTGCAGCGAAAGATTTCAGTTGGTTGCGTCACAGTATCATTACAGTGTCCATCTTGGCATTTACTAATTTGCTTGTCATCTTTGTCCCGACTATTAGAGATATCTTCGGTTTTATTGGTAAGGTTTCTTTCAGATATCAAAGTTGGTTAAGATTATCTGGGATTTTAAGGTTTTTAAAAATGAGCTGCAGTTTGATTCATTGGATTCTCAAGAAAATACATCTATTCTCTAATAGGTGCATCTGCTGCTGCTATGTTGATTTTTATTCTTCCGTCTGCCTTCTACATAAAGTTAGTCAAGAAAGAATCTATGAAATCTGTACAAAAGATTGGGGTGAGTTCAAGATTCCTGATTGTCAAAATAGTAATAATCAAATACCAGAAATTTCAACTGATTTTGATTTTATTCTTTTAAGACCCTTAGTTTAAATTTTAGTTTTTATGGTGATACTTGTGATCGCTTTTTTATGTTTCTAGTAAGTAATGAGGAATGGAAAACTAGGGGAGGAAGGAGAGGTTAAAGGGGTAGAAATTAGTTGATAGAAGCGTACAAGTATGCTAGTATAAAACTGTTGTCTAAACTTGTAATATTTGCTTAATTGGTAGGTAGTCAGACTGCCTATGACAGGAACTTAACATGGCCAGTGGATATATAAAAAAGATAAAGATGGTGTTTAATTGAAGGAGAGCATTTTCAAAGCACTGGGAGTTAGATTTTAAAGCAAAGTATAATAAGTAAACTTACAGATTAATACCTGTACTCATTTTGTTTTACTCTATATAGTTCGGGGAATATGACTCAGTGGTAGAGTACATGTTTGGGTTAAGAACCTTGTGTTGGATCTCTGGCACTGCATATGTGAAATAAATATATTGTAATAATTGAAAAGCGTAGGATTTTATTGGTAAGCTTTCTCATATCTCTTAGATCATAAGCTTTGATACTGTTTAAAATTTCACCTTAAAAATGGAAGGAAAAGAAAAGGCTCCAGTCTAGTTGTAATACATTCTTTGTTTAGCAAAGAAAATTGCATACCTTTTTCTTTTAGACGAAAGAATGAAAAAGTGAGATTTTAGACCATTCAAGACAGGTGCTTTGTATGCTGATCACTTAACACTTATTAAAAGTATCTTTAGCAAAGTAATGTGTAACTCCTTAAAATATTACTGACATAGTTTGAGTAGTCAGAAGCCCATTTAAAATAGGAAGAATTACTTAGCTACTTGTTTGATTGCTTACTGATCAGTTTCCTCTGTGCTCATTGCAGGCCGTGTTCTTCCTGCTAAGTGGCATAGTGGTGATGACCGGAAGTATGGCCTTGATTGTTTTGGATTGGGTACACAATGCTTCTGGAGGTGGCCACTAACTGGCAGCACCAGAAAACTCCGACAGTCCATTTGATGCCAGTATTGAGGCAACACTCAACTGCTAATGAAATTCACCTGATATTTTCGTTTCACTTCCTTTTGAAGTGCAGATTCCTCGCTGGTTCTTCTGAGTGCAGAATAAGTGAACTCTTTCGTTTGTTTTTTTTGTTAAGAAACTATTCTGTATGATAGAAATGGATATTAACTACAAAACCACGAGTTCTCGGGTTAACGGAAGTGACAATTTTATTCCATTCCAGAGAATGGACGAACTCTTTATCAAGCCACATGTTTGGCTGTGTCATTGTTTAACTTGGATATTTTATGATTTTACTTGAATGTGCCTAATGGAACCATTCGATGTGAGAAACAATTCTTAATTTACAGCAAAGTATTGAGAAAACTCTTATTATTTTTTGTACCAAAAATATTTAAAGACCTCAGAAGCACTATTTTACTTTTACGAAATTGCTTTTTTTGAACTTTGTCCAAAAACGGTTGTCAATAAATTCCATAAAAGAAATTTCAATGGTATTTGAAAACAAATGTTAGTATTAAGAAATTATTTGCCTTTTTATAGGCATAAGCCAAATACATTTTTTATCCAAAATGATTTCTAGAGAAATGATGTAATTGTACCGTGAGTAGGAGCATATAGTTGTGTTTTTTGTTTCATTTTTCGCTCAAATTTTTTATTTGAAGGAGAGTTAAATTATTGTTAGATTAGTGCTTCATCTTTTTTCTGTCCCCATAATTTGGTTAATTACTTCAACCTTTTAGAATGGACAGTAATCCAGAAGTTTCTGTGGGAAGTAAAATATCTAGTTTTGAGGTACCAAATAGTGCAATTGGGTAAAACAGGGTTTATTCAGTTGCATTTGTCTCCGGAGTTGTGGTGACAACTCTGGGGTGATTTTTTTGTTGTGTTTTTTGGGGGCCAGCTTTTTTTTTTTGACATTGCTTCCATCAGTGGAAAATGGGCATTTTTTTTTTATGGCTATATAAGCCCAAACAATAATATTCAGAGTACAACTTTAAAATGCTCATCTGCTACTGGAAGTTAGAATTACTTGACAATGTATGGCTTTGTCGTGTTCATGTTTTGTCTATAGTAGAGGTTTTATCCACAAGTTAAACCAATATTTTGGTATAATTTTTTTTATAAAGGCCCTTGGCTTTCTCATGCAGTAAGCTTTTTTAAAAAAAAAAAAACCAAACTCATTGCACTGTACCGTCATCTCATTCTTGTACAACATAGAATATTTGTTTACATCCAGCAATGTTATTGGGGGAGACAGTGCACCCTGAGTGTAAGTAGTTGGTCCACTGCATGTTCACCCTCCCATTTCAATCCCAGTTAGAAGTAAAAAAAAAATACATGGCTTTAAGAGCACATTTATTGTACTTTACAGTGTATGGTGAATATATATTATTAAATAATGTGGTACTTCACTCCTATGACATTGTGTCTAAAATCTAATACACGTGATTCCATTAGTGGTTGAAGGAAGCAAATAATGGAATCATCAATTGGTCATCTGGCTCTTAGTTTTTCTCTGGAAAGATTTCAGTTTTGAGCAAGGGCCAGAAATGGGGCAGACAGTTTTTGTTACACATTTTTTTGTATTATATGTGACATGTGACTTATGTTACAGACAGTGTCTGTAAATAAAGACCTTTGTGGAACCGGAAGACGTTATGTAGTGCTACGCTGAGTGAAACCAATGGTCCATTTTTGTGTATCTCTACAAAAACGAAGTAATTGGGGACCGTCTAGAAAGGCAGTGAGAAGATGGATTCTATAGCACTGCTTTCATTTAATTAGGCTTTTGGTACTCACTCCTTCAAATCCAGAACCTCGCCTAGTTCAAACCAAGAATTGGCACTTCAACTTGTGTTCCGGGAAAGAATTGCTTTTCTCAGACCTGCCAGATAATGCCAAGTATGGTTTTCTACGCGTATGGTCTTTTCATCTGAGAGAAAATACCATGGTAACCAGAAAGGAATGAACAAAATTTTTTCACGGCAAATCAAGGTGGGAAGGCTTCTCCTATCCTCTTCTCTACTGTTAGAAGACCTAAATCAACCGAGTATGGTAAACTCCGTTGCATGATACTCTGGCGGGCTATCTTGTCTGCCCGGAGATTCCTAAGCAGTAAACTCCCGTTAACGAGCAGTCTTCAGTATTAAAACCACTGTCTTGTCACCTCATTTTGCATTACTGTCTTCCATGGATGTTTCAGTTATAACTGTAATGTTATTTATAGAACAGCATTAATCCATTAAAGCTAACCTATTTTTCAATATTTATGATAATCTATGTACATACATTGTCTGTCCATATGTATTTGTAAATAGCTTGTATATAATAGGTTTGGGATTTGAGTTCAAGTGTATATATTCCTGTAAGTTTCTTAACTGCATTTTGATGAACTTCATATTATGTAACTATAAGAATTGTCCCGCAAAGTACCTGTACAAAGATTTCAGTACCAACAAATTGACATTCTATAAACACTAACAATTTAAAATAATGTTTCAGGTGTATTTGCAATAAAAAATACTAAACATATTTTTTCACGAAAACTTGGTGTAAATTCAGACATTTAAATTTTCAAAATGCAGTAGTTATCAAAATGTATCTAGAATAATGAAATCAAATATGATCTAGTGTAATGAAAGCTTTGGGAGCCCGGGTGTGTTAACTTTCTGTATATAGTGTAAATTTCTTCACTGTACTAGAGGCCAACAATTCTGGTATGATTTGTTGGCAAAGTGCTACACCGTTTCAATGAAACAATGTATGTTTTAACTGAACTAAAATAAATACATGTTTAATCACTGAGTGGCTGTGCTTGAAGGGAGGGAATGGTATAGTGCCTTTTGCATTGAGTCCAGCAACTTGGTATCCACATCATGTTGGTGGATGTAGTGTGGAATAAAAAGGTCGGGGAGGAGGGGGGAGAGTAACAGGATTACTTCTAAACTCTGAAAGATGATAAATTTATGGTAGGGAAGAGAAAAGTGAAAATTACATCAGGAACCAAATTGTAGTGGGTGTGCCCAATAGCAAGCCAGTACTGTACTAGAATCACTTGGTTAACCTTGGAGTGCAGAGTTCTTTCCAGTCTCGATTCCATAGATGTACAGTACAGGATAGTTTCCACCCACACCCCCACCAGCAGCTACTTGGGATACTGGTGCAGAGGTTAAAATTCAGGGACATTGAAATATTGCCTGAGAAGATTAGTTCAACTCTAGTGAAGTGGCCTCTGGAATAGAGGACAAACGTGCTGAGTGATAATAGTGAAGGTTACTAGGATATGAGTGAGTTGAGGTGTGGCTTACTGATAGCCCTGAAAGATAAGCACTCGTAAAATTAAATATACAACCCTGAAGCAGGAAGGTAGTTCAGCCAGGCATGCTTGGGAGTGGGTCCAAAGTCAACTGCTACTACTGCAGCCGAGTGAGGAAAATGTCATTAGAAAGTGCAGAATTTGCAGCAAATCCAAAATAAGGTACAAAAGGCTAGTGGACCTTTTGTTAGTCATCAGGGAAACTTTAGTTGAACATCTGTCCATGGCTATGAAGGTAGGGCTGTAAGACTTAGAATTTGTGAATGCTTTAAGCCATTAAAAACTGGGAATCCAGATGATTGTACAGTACAGCAGGTAGGATATTTGCCTTGAATGTGTCCTACTGGAATTAAAACCCTTGTGGTTCCCCAAGCCTGCCAATTGTGATCCCTGAGCACAGACCAAGAAGTGAACCCTGAGCACTGCTGGATATGACCCAAAAAACAAAAATTGGGACCAGAATGCAAAATTTTTAATTTGAAATTAAAAATACATTTGGTGAGTAGGTCATTCAGACAAGAACAGGTTTTCCTTATTATTTTTTTTATTGAATCACCATGAGACACAAAGTTGTTCGTGATTGGGTTTCAGTCTTACAATGTTCTGATACCCGTCCCTCCTTTACCAATGTACCTCTCTCTCTATCTATCTCTTTCTCTCTCTCTCTCTTCATCCTCTCCATTTCTTTTTGAGCATTATGATTATGGTTGTCCTGAAATGTTATCAAGTATATCCCTGTACTTTCAAACTTTCATTATTAAGTTCCTGTCGTGCCCATAGTGATCATTAATGAAAACAGTTCTTTCGGGAACCAGTTAGTCCCAAAAAAGAGCCAGTGAACCTGAGGGATATCTAAGATAAGAATGTTTCCTACTGAAAAAATTAGTTAATGTGAAAATGATGGCGTGACTTTTGCAAAGCAAAAAGATCACCCTTCAGAAGAATGTGTTGTCCCAAATTTAGATGAACAAGTTTTCAAAGTTGAAAAACTATTTTTGAGGTGGGGCAAAGTGCCCAGAAACAAACCCAGGACCTCATACAAAGCAGGTCTGTGCTCTCCAGCTGAGCCACACCCCCAGCCCTCAGTTTGGGTCTCCAGTACCCTGTGGCCCACCACAGCCCCCAGCATCACCAGGTGTGGACCTGGTGCCCTCAGCGCTGCTTAACCCCCGTAGCATGTCATTGCTGGTCAAGTTTTGTTTCTTTTTTTTTTTTAATTTAATTTAATTTAATTTTTTTTATTAGTGAAACACCATGAGGTACAGTTATAGACTTACAAATTTTTGTGCTTGGGTTTCAGTTATACAATGATCAAGTACCCATCCCTCCACCAGCGCCCATCCTTCACCACCATGGGTCCCAACAATCCCTCCCACCCCCCATCCCCGCCATCCCACCCTGCCTCTGTGGCAGGGAATTCCCTTTTGTTCTCAATCTCCTTTTGGGTTCTGTGGTTTGCAAGAGAGGCATTGAGTGGCAATCATGTTTGGTCTATAGTCTACTTTCAGCATGCTTCTCCTACCCTAGGAGGATCCTCCCAACACCCTTTATTTGGTGCTCTCTTCTCTATCTGAGCTTCCTTTTCCCCTAGCACGTTTTGAGAGTTGAACTGTTCCCACCAAATACCACCTGAAGTAGCCTCCAGACTTTCCTGAACAATGCTCAGATGTATGCTTCACACACACACACACACACACACACACACACACACACACACACACACACACTCTTCCCCCAAATAAAAGAGATTGACAAATTCTAAGCTTCGCAAGAGCTTCGTTTATTATTAATTTACCCCAAACTCAGTAGTTATAGCAGAGAGCACAGAGATATCCAACATAAGTCAAGTGAATAATTACTCTCTCCTTTCCTATAACATAATTGAAGTGTAAGATTCCAAGTTTTAATCAAGAATTCACTAAATGCTTATAAGCTTGATGGCATGTCCTTGAAATTCAGCACTTTGACTTAGAAGAGAGTTTATTCAGAAGCCTACCAGAAGGCTTTCTTACCTAAACTATAAACTATGCCTCCAGGAGGCAGAAATCATCTTTAACCTCTACCAAAAAAGTGATTTTTGTGACAGTGATATTTTTCAAGTCATAGCCGCCTGCCTAAGTTTGTCCTACACAGATGGTGAAGAAAAAATTTAACAGTAGTAGTCAAATTTATATCTGAACCATGAGTAACTCCTGGTCAATCCCTGGGAATGTGCCCCTCAAAACAGACTATTAAGGATGATTTTGTTATAACCCCCTGGAGCAACACACCATGCTATATTGGCTTTTTCAGGTTGCTTTGCACAAACACTTAATGACATGCACCTCGTTTCACTATTGGGGTGACACCTTGTTTCACTATTGTAGTGCTGAGGTATATTTGCCCAGGCTTGTTACAGAACAGAATAAGTCTACATGAACAGCCTGCAGCTATTCCCATTCCCCTCCCCCCACCCCGGGTCACACCAGGCGATGCTCAGGGGTTACTACTGGTTCTGCACTCAGGAATTACTCCTGGAGGTGCTCAGGGGAACATATGGGATGCTGGGAATTGAACCCAGGTCGGCCGCATGCAAACACCCTACTCGCTGTTCTCACACTCCAGCCCCACTGAAAGATTAATTCACAATATAAGTTCTAAAGCATTGTACGTGCTTTGCTAAATGTTGCTGGAAGAGTACAGTGTTGAAAGAATTGTACATTGTCTCTTACTGGGGCAACTTCCCAGTGTCTTCTTGGCATACTTCTCCCAAGTTCCACAGGCTATGTTGAGTGAGAGAGTCTGTTTGTCCTTCCTGTCTCACAGACAGTCGATTCCCTATTTTCTTTTTGTTGTTTTGGTTTGGGGGCAGGGGGTGGCGCACAGCAGCAGTGTTCAAGGCTTATTCCTGGCTCTGTATCCAAGGACCACTTCTGATGATGCTTGGAACCATCGAAGGTGTCAGGAATTGAACCTGGGTCAACCTATGCAAATGCCCTACCAATTGTACACCGGCCCCTATTTTCACAAGTGGTTCAGTTTTGTCCTCAAATCTATATCTTCTTCAGGTACATAAAAGTTTTAAAGTTATATATTCTTAAGTTACATAAAAGTTTTGAAGATATTAGGACTTACCTTCCTGAGGAACTGTTTAGTGGCCACACATTTTTATGATCAGTCCATTCTGAAGTATTTAATTTCTTTTTTCCTTCTAACCACTTATGGTACTTTCCCTAAAAAAAAAAAAAGAGTTCAACTTCCTGTGTTATCGCCTTTCCTAAAATTTGAGGAGAGCAGGGCTTTGTTTGGGTGGGGTTGAACCAATCCCAATGGTCCTCGGGGGTTACTTTTGGCTCTGAGCTCAGGAGTGACCCCTGGTAGTGGGGGATCATGTGTGGTGCCAGGTTCCAAACCAGGGTCAAAAGCAAGAGTCTGAACGCTTGTATTCTCTCCAGCCCCACATGCTTCTTATTTTCCTTCTAAACCACCTCAGTACTTTCCCTGAAAGGAGTTTTAGGGAATCCAATATTTTCAATTGATTCTATTTAAAATATTGATGTAGAGCCCAGTCTGCAGTGTAGAGGAAATCAGAGATGTACTGACTGGAATGGCCATGGTTGGACTAGAGCAACATGTTTTGAAGGGACCACAAGAGAAAATCATGTAGTAGGGGAATAAGAGACTAGTTGCCAACAGTATGATGGGGAAGGAAACAAGTTTGGCAGGGTATCACTGTTAGGGCAAGGTTGAGAAGCTCCAGTATAGAACCTAAGAATCCAGTCTTCAAACTTCCTCACCCTGCTCTGTTTCCCAAATGACACATATTTGAAAAACAGCTCTAAATTCTTTCAGGTGAACAAGAACCCCAAATAACCAGAATCCTGCCAGCCAGAAACTCAGCTACTTAATCTCTACATTCTGTTTCAAGTATAAAACAAAACAAAAAACCAAACTGTGTCAATACTTTCTCTCTGTATTGAGGATAGTGACCTTAGTGCCCACAGTCCAATCATCTTTATATCAAAACTCACACTCTTCACTTCGTCTTTGCTTCCTTAAATGAATATATTGCTAAGGATGTACTCAAGTGCTTCGGAGTACATCTAAGGTGATGCAGCTGAAGTAATCAAATAGACCCAGATGTCAAATGACTCATTTCCTGTCTCCTGGTCAATAATGTGTTGAGAAATGGAAGTCTGAAAGAAACGAAAATCATTTTAAATAAAGGAAATAATTTTTCAAATATACTGAACTTTGGTTTGACCTAGGTATGGAAGAGGTCTTTAATTTTACAGAAACAAGTGATCATAAACCAATCCTCTAAATAAAGTTTCTCAGAAATTAGAGGATAAGTTCTGGGTTCTAAATGTATAACTAAACTTTGAAAACTATATCTTTGAGTAGGCCACCCCACCCCCCAACCAAATACTCAAGGTAACTATTTTAAGAATGCAATTCCATCAAGCTTGCTTTTGTGGGGTTTTTTTGTGTGGGGGTGGGGAGGGAG